TAGGCCCGCGAGTGCCTGGGCCCAGCCCGGCCTAGTTCAGGTGAGAGGACGGAAACCTCGGCCCCAGGACCTGGCCTCGGAGCCACAGTCGAGGGCGTGGCCCTAGCTGCAGGAGGCGGGGCTGCTGGCGCCTTACGTGCCCGCGCTGTTACCGGTTTTGCCGTCTTCTTTCCAGCCAGCGACCCAGCAGCTCCTGATTCCAGGCAGGAAGCGAGGGTCGAGGGTCCTGGAAGAAGGCACCTCTGCCCTTGAATTATTCACCCCAAATTGAGTTATCGTGAAGCCCAGCGGCTTTGGGAAACCTCTCCACAACCAAGTTGAGCCACAGCCCTCTGCTAATGGAGGGTAAAAGGTCTTCTAATTGGCTACTGATGAAAAGTAACAGCAATTAAAGCTTCATTTGATTCGCACCTGGGGCACATGCGGCTAGTAGCCCAGTTAGCCTGTGACTTAGAAATGCGTTAGAATACAAAATTTACCAAAGTGTGGTAGCTGTAACTCGTGGTAGTGGCAGAAGCTTATTCAAGTTCAGTAGTGAATGTTCAAGACAAAAACAACAAAAAAATTTGATTTAGTATGATAATCTTTTCACAATTATTGTAGTAATCTCTTTTGCAGCTGCCTTTAATTTGCATCCTTTTGTGTTTTCATTTAGTTTTAACTCATCAGTAAAATGGTAAGGTGGCTTGCAGTGAGATTGAAATACCTATGTGGAAATACAGGACAGAACATATCAAGGGATAAGTGCTTTGTAACAATATGTGCCAAGTGCTTTGTTCCTCATAAGTGTAATGGGAACTAAAAAATTCCTTTTCAAATTAAAATGTACTGGAACAGAAATATACCTTCCTCACCTTAAAATTATTTCCCTTAAGTTCATCTATTATTGCACAACATTTGATTTGAGGGAATTTTTAAAAATTACTGAAACTATTAGTCTCGATATTCTCAGTGGTATACAGGATTCCAGCTGACTCGCAGAAAGGTGAAAAGAGCGCAGCAGAGTTCAGACAATCCATTTCCTTGTGTGCAGTTTGTGTCGATTGTCTTTGGATAATTTTATTGTTGACTAGAGCTTTTCAAGTACAACAGTTGCTTAAGATTTTAGAAACCATTTCCCTTATTCTTTTTCTCTCTGCAGTTAAAAAACAATGTCTAACCCACGCAATGAGGTTTTGACTGTATGTCTCATTTCCAAAGGAATATGACATCATTGAGTTGAACCCAGAGAAACTGAACTCAGAGAAAAACTTCCATTATTGAAAACTCAAAAGCTGATGGCCAGACAAAAGGATGAGAGGAAATGCTGGACCTCCAATTTCTTGTTAACTACTGTTTTTCATAAGGGACTCCGCCTTAAGCTCATTTTCATTGCCTGTTATCATTTCTGGGTTTGCTCTGGTGTGAAAATTCTCATTTAATTTTTTTTTCTTCAGATTCTGCCTCTAGTTTAGAAAAGAAAAATTCTAATTTACAATTCATGTCAGATAATCTTGATGGCACACTGTGGCCTGTCAGAGATTTCACTAGCATTCTATTTTTTAAAATTATTTTAAATCTTTGTTTTTTTAATTGAAACAGCTTTGTCGAAATATGATTTACATACTGTAGAATTTGTTTTAACATATAATTCGAATATTTTTAGTAAATTTACTGAGTCATGCAACCATCACTGCAATCCAACTTTACAATACCTCCATCACTCCAAGAAGACCCCTCATGCCCGTTAGCAGTCACTACCCATTTCCAACCCCAGCCCCACACAAACGTCATTCTACTTTCTGTCACTATGCATTTGTCTCTTCCGGATGTTTCATGTAAATGGAATTATACAGTATGGTAAACACATTTTTCATCTATTTTTATATTCAACTAGGTTCAACATGTAATCATAACCAAATGTCTTTTTTGATATTTACTTCTTCTGCTTTCTCTTTTTCATGCTGAAACAGTCTTTTAAATGATTACATTCATTGATTAACTCCTTATTTTTCTTTTAGAAGGACATCATCTTATTCAGTCTCAAGACAACATCCTTGGATATTATCTTTTGTTCATCATCCTCTTTCTTCTAAGCACCATCTAATTGTTGAAGCAACAGATTTCAGGTCATAGTTGAGATACTCTTTCCTCTACGTAGTCCCGCTTTCCAAAGGATTTACTTGGCTTAGGTCCTTTTGTACACTTTATAAAACCAAAGCCTTTTCTCTGAATTTCTTGTGTCATGGAGTCTACTTTTTAGGGCATTGAATTTAATTCGAGCTTCAGAAAGTTGTTCAGTTAGAAACTCATTATCTTTTAGCTCATAAATACTAGAACTCATTTTTTTTCTGGTAAAGAAACATCTTGTGCTCTCTGGAAAGCAAGTTCTAGGTCTCTTTTTGTTTTTGCGCTTTGATCACGCTCTCTCATAGCAGCAACCAATCTAGCATGGAAAGACTCAACTTCAGCTTCCAGTCTTTCCTTGTTTTGTTTCCCTTCTCCTGTTCAGACTTGAACATTGTATTCTCAGCTTTGAGGTCATTAAGCTGTTGGGCATACTGGAATATTGTTTTTGTTAATGTTTTTTTATTTTGTTTTATAGTCTTTTGAAGATTATCGTTCATTTCTTTAATAATTTAATGTCCCTAAAATATTTCTTTTCCTTTTCAAGGTTCTTACTTTTTATTGTGCATACTTACATACACAATAAAGGCAATCTCTCTCTTCAACAAGCAATTTTCATGCATCAGATCCTTTTTCCACAACTATTTGAAGTTTTCCTTAAAGCCTTCACTTCTATTTCTAGTGATCTGATACCGGTTCAAGCTATTCTTTTACTTCAACTTCTTTCCTATGTTGCTCCACTTTCCTTTCTAACTCTTCCGTAATTTTTTCATACAACCTATTAGCATTTCTTGTCTTCTCATCTTCTTGTTTTAAGGTGCATTCAAACTGTAGAATTCTTGTTTCCATTCCACTTTTAGATGTTTAACTGTGATTTCATTTCTTGTGTGTTGGATAGCTCCTTCCATAATATGCTAAACTCAATTTTCATATTTTTATTGTCTAGAGTAAGTTGTTCACCAATACTTTTTTTTAAGTTCCAGTGACTTTTCACAGAAATAAATGCATTCTGAATTTCCATTAGGATATGAGAATCATTATAATCCATTCCAAATTGCTTAATGAGCATCATCAACTTTTTATAATGAGGGTAAGTTTCCTTATGATTCTCTGAAGCTGTTTCAGATGGCCAAGTTCGGTCATCAAGTTTATCTCTAAATGTGTTTGCTTTTTGACCTTTTTATTTGACATTTTCTTTGGAGGCCTATCATATTCTCCCTTCTCCTTCTTAGGAAATCACTGATGGTAAGTTTTCCCACTCTTTCTTTGTTGAATTAATTTATCATCATCAGCAGTAGATGTACTATCATATAGGTTTTCTGATGCTTTCATCTTTTTAATTTGTGCTTCTTTCCAGCTTCTTCAACCTGTGGCTATTTATTTTCACTTTCAGGCTTTTCTTGTTCTTCCTCTGAGGTCACTTTTACTTCTTCTTCTGCTCTGGATGTTTGTACATCCTTCCTTTCTACTGCTTTCTTCACAACAGAATCTTTCAGTGTTAGGCTTCAAGGAAGGATGTTTTGCAGGAGGCCCTTCTCCTTTTCCATTTATTGTATATTTTTTCCTTTTTTATATGAAGGTCCAAGTAAAGACTCTGAAACACTCAGGGATACACTTCTTTGTAGTAAAAGTCAAGTCTTCATCTTCTGATTTAGGGCATGAATCAACACATTTTTTTGAAAATACTGAATGCAGATGCTTCAGAACTCCCAGAATCTTTGGCACTTCCTCCTTCTTTTTTCAAACTTGCATTCTTCTTGGTTGTTTCTTCTGGATTGTCATTTGAAGACCGTTTTCAAGTATCTTTTTGCAAATGTTGCAAAATTTGTTGTGAGTGCTTGTCACACCACCAGAAATAGTGTAAACGTAGGCTGTGTGTTCATACATATTCTTGAGTAAAGAAAATATTTTGTTGAAGAAGAATGCTAACTATACCTAAGAAGCTATAATGTACAACAGGTATGAGGGCTGTTCTTTTCAACCTATCAACAGCATATACATTTGCCTGTTTCTTCACTAAAATTCCACCTTTTACTGTGTTTTGCAAACTACAACAAGTAAAAGCAGTGTGTTTCCATCCTTGTTCTAGCACTTCAGTATTCACATGGTGTGAAGGGAGTTTTTCTGCCAGTAGTCTAGTCTCATTACAGACAGTATAGTAGAGAGCAGTGTTGCTGTAGACATCCATAAGATCTAGTTTGGTGCCATGTTCTAACAGAATGATGACACAGGTCTCTTTTTGGCAATGTACAGCCTTCATCAAAGGCATCTTGTTTTGTTTGTCACCAATGTCAACCTCATATTTTCAGTTTAGTAGAACAGTGACCACTTTTACATGGCCATTGGCACAGGCCAAATGTAAATCAGTCTTGTCCATCCACAGATGAAGTAATGCAGAAATTTCAGGATATCTGCGCAATGGAATATTCTTCAGTCATCAAACTTCAGAACATCTCATCACTTCCAGCAATGTGGAGAGAGACCTGTTCCCCCACAGATGAAGGGATACAGAAACTGTAGTATTCATTCACAATGGAATACTCTTCAGCCATACCATATACTAAAATCATATCATCTGGAGCCACATGGTTGAACTTGTCCATCCCTTGATGAAGGGATGAAAAAAACTGAAATATATATCCAGAATGGAATACTCTTCCACCACAGAAATGGATGAAATCCTATCATTTGCAGTCATGTGGAAAAACCTTTTCATCCACAGATGAAGGGATAAAGAAACCATAGTGTATGTACGCAAATGGAATACTCTTCATCCAGAAAAATATAATGAAATTACATCATTTGCAGCCACACTGTTGAACCTACAGGACATCATGGCAAATGACCTGTCCATCCATAGCTGAAGGGATAAAGAAACTGCCACACAGGTACACTACGGAATATGCTTCAGCCATAAAGCTTCGGGAAATCCTGTCATCCACAGCCATGTGGAGAAACCCAGAGGACATTAGGTCCAAAGATATGAGCTTGGTAGAGAAAGTCCCACACCTTTTAATCTCAGGCATGGAGATTCAAAAAAAAACCTTTATCTCCTGTCCATCCACAGATAAAGGGATCAAGAAACTGTAATATATATACACAAAGGAATACCCTTCAGCCATCAAAATAACCATGTCATTTGGAGCAACACAGATGAACCACAGAGGCTACAGCTGCCTTGTGCCACACCATGGATAGAAGCCACCATGGCCTCTGTCCAGGCCGAGCTCTGACCACAATGATGCCTCTGCCCGCACCCGGGCCCCACTGTGACTGACGGTGCCCTTGTACCTTTTCAGTAGTCATTGATGAGAAAGCATCTACATCTTCCTTCCCACTACCAGATTTTGCTTGAAGGAAAGCAGTTTCCCAAAATAATTTTGTGACAAGCCTCTACCACATTAGGACAAAAATGCTGGTAACTGAAAAAAAATTCCTACAGAAGCTTTCTGCTTCCCTCTCCAGCCATATCTCAGGCAAGCCCCCAGCATACCACCCCACCACAGGGCCCATTCCCCATACTCATCTGCCACTCCTGAACTCTAGGCCTTGGCTCAGGCAGGCCTTCTGCTCAAAGGCTTTCCTTTAGAGTTGCCTGGCTAAGCATAGCTTTGCCTCACCCCCCAAAATCTAATAATCATCTTGAATTTTTCCCTTTCTCTCACTGTCGTTCATTCATTCAACAGAAAGCTTGTCATGCGTCCACTGTGTTCCAGCTTTTGTCCTAAACCCTGGGAGACAAGTGTGATTAAGATACGCAAGTCCTACTCTTGTACAACTTGCATTTGAGCTTGGGGCAGCAGGGAAGGGAGGACAATAAAACCAGATAAATGCTATGACAGAAAAAAGATAAGACCAGTAGATTGTGATAGTAAATTAGGGGTGAAGGGAGGAGAGTACTATTTTAAATCAGCTAAACAAGGAGAACTCACTAAGAAGGAGACAGTTAAGAAGGAGCCACCCTGGCAAAAACAGACAAAAGGAAAGGGTACATGTGGTGGCATTTTTGCTGTTTGTAGTGAGGGGGCCAACCCGGTGATATGAGGGGAAGGGAGCATTCCTCTCAGAGGGACTCACAAGTGCAGAGGCCCTGAGGTGGGAAGCAGCTTGATATTTGAGGAATGGTAGTGCCTTCCTTGGACCATGCCTATGTGTGATGTAACAGTCACAAACAGTTCTTCACTAGCTTTTACAGCAGAAGGGAACTGGTACTCAGACAAATTCCAGATGAGGCAGAGGAATGTCTGTGACTCTCCTCTTCCTTATTTGTTCCCTTTGTCAGTTGGTTGACTACCCCCCACCCCCACCCCGTTCCCTCTAGCTCCCTAACCCTTCTCCTGCCATCCCCCATAAAGACCGCTAATTAAATAAAATGGGTTTTGGAGGAGACCATCCTAAGATCCCAGACTGACCTAATCTCTGCCTATCATTAATAATATGACTTTAGGGAAATTACTTAACCTCTCAGTGTTTTCTTGTCAGTAAGTTGGGAATAATAATGCCTGCCTTCTGGATTACAAGGGTTCATACATTTGAAGGCTCTCAGTAAATGGTGGCATAGGAGCATTCTTCTTTTTTACTCCCTAAATAATAAATTTAGTTTATTGTTAATTTCAACATGTATATTCAAAATGTATTCTGTGTTCATCAGTCCATTATTTCCATCTGATTGCTGTCACCACCCTGGTCAATGTCTGGCTCTCTCTTGCTAGCTCTCCTCCCCAGCCTTTTTGACACCAGGGATTTCATGGAAGACAATTTTTCTACCAGGGGGCTGGGGAGAGATGGTTTCAGGACAAAACTCTTCCACCTCAGATTGTCATCATGAGTTAGATTCTCATAAGGAGTGGGAACCCTAGATCCTGCTATACATGCGCAGTTCACAATGGGGTTCATGGTCCTATGAGAATCTAATGCCACCACTGATCTGACAGGAAGTGGAGCCCAGGCAGTAATGCTTGCTCACCTGCCACTCACTTCCTGCTGTGCGGCCTTGTTCCTAACAGGCCACGAACCCTTACGGGTGCAGGGGTTGGGGACCCCTGCTTCAGATGACAGCCAGAGTAGTCTTAAATGAAAGGTGGATTGTTAGTTCCCTGCTTAGACCTTCAGCTGTTTCCATTTCCAGAATCTTCACTGCAGCCTGCCTGGCTCTACTTGATGGGACTCCCACCCCCCTGCCCTCCCTCCTTAGCCCTGTCATCTCATACTACTCTTTCCCCTTGCCCAGGACACTGACCAGATGCATTCTTGGGCAAGAATCACTGTGCTTACATGTCAAATCTGAAACAGACATTTCTTTTTTTTTTTTTTTTTTTTTTT